TGGTTTTCCCAAATCATTCTTGGTTTTCCCAAAGTCATTCAAGGTTTCCAGTGATCCATGGGTTTTTTTTCTAATAAGTGACAATTAAACTTACTGAATCCACTTGCTTCATCTCCTTGGCAGGTCTTAAGGGCATTATCATTATTCGGCAGTAACAATGCCAAACTACCAGGCTAAAGTATTCCAGAAATTCTGTAGTACAAGATGGAAGTAGTACAGTCTTAAGACAATAACAACAATGGTATTCACCATCTGCTAAATATAAAGACAGTGTATTGGGTAATATCTCATTGAACCCTTGGAACTACAATTCCATTAGATAATGTTATCCTTCCTTTATAAACAAGAAATTATGGCTCAGCGCAGAAGGTATGTTCCAAAGATGGCCACAACCTGCACAGCCTTGACATCTGTCCATCAAAAGGTGGAATTTCTTTCTCCACTCCCTTAAAATTGAGCAGGCTCTACGTGTGCTTTAATGAGTAAAATAGATGGAAATGACACTGGGCCAGTTCTGGGTGTAGCCTGAACTGGCTGGAACCTTCTTCCAGTCTCAGAAACAGGAAGAAGCCACATGTAGGTGCTCCAACCAACAACCCTGGCTGAACTCAAAGCAAGCATCAACTGCCAGTCATGCGAGTACACCATTTTGGGCATCTTACCCCAGTGAGCCTTCAGACAATTCCAGGCCCAGCCACATCTCACTGCAACTGCCCAAGAGACCCCAAATGCAATTGCCCAGATAGGCCTGGTCAAATCTCATACCTGTGCGATATAAGAAAGTTTTGTTTTAAACGACTAAGTGTGGGGGTTGATTGTTATATAGCAACAAATCAATACCAGAATCAGATCAATTTGCTCACCTACGAACTGTTAAGAATTAGAACCAAAAGCCAAGAGTTTAGAGCAAAACATCTATTAATGGTGGGTTACATGATGTGGGGGTTCATACCCAAAAGAAGTGACTTTAAAACAAAACTCCCTACCCACCTCAAAGCAGACTAAGTGTTTTCCAAGAAATGTCCTAGTGTGGTGACACCCTCAATAAAACCAATTCCCTTCTGGCTTGAGTTCTTCCAATGTTAAATGGGGAAAATAAGATTTTCCCCACCACCCTGTGATAACTAATGAGAAAGGAATCTGTACAAGATGTTGACTTTGTTACTCAGAATATCATTACAATTGTTATATAAAAGGATTCATATTTTGCACACCAAACTGTAACTCTAATAATAAAAATATATTTAATGACTCACACGACTACATTTGAGAGTCACAGTGGGGACAGGGAAGAATGCATACTATACCAGGGAATGAACAAGCCAAGAAGAAATTAGGAAAAGATGTGGGGAGTTTGTGTTTGTGTGTGTGTGTGTGTGTGTGTGTGTGTGTCTTATGAAAAGATCTCTGAAGAAAAAAAAAGAAAATTGATCTTCAGACAAGTCTCTGTAACAGAAAAAAGTCTATAATTTAACAAGTGTCCCAATATATGCTATTTTCATTATACATAGTGTCTGTCTCTTGTTTTTTCTTCCCTAGCTTATTGGAACTTGACAGACACCTTTTATGTCGGAACTAGAAAGAATCTTACAACTCATCCAACTCCTTCATTTTAAAAGCTGAGAAACTGAGGCCAAGGACAGTTAACTGGCTAGCAACAGGTCAAACTACTCATTAGCAAGAGAACCCAATTTGCAGTGCTGGTGCTACCATATGTTCAGTTTTATTTTATCAGAACTATACCTCCAAATGTCCTCAATGTATTTCAAATTTATTCTAGCACCTCACAGTCTGACAATGAAAGATTAGGAAACCATGCTCTTTGTTATCAATCTCTTCTTCATAACTGTTTAAGAGTAGGATTGAGTCCGCTGTTTCTGGCAGTAACTGGAGGATGGTGACCCTGTATTGGGCAGAGATGTGCAACTTTACAGCAGCAGGCTGTCAAGTGACTGACCTCAGCTCTTCAGTCACTAACATCTTAGTCTAAATTACGTTAATTGAATGTCATGGTAACCTTCCTGCTGATCAAACCATGGTACTGATAAACTGGGAGATTTAAATATGGGGTAGTTTTGAAGCAGACAGAATAGGAGAGGTATGGAGGGCATCAGGGTGCAAGGCATTAGCCATAGAAAGGAGGGAGAAGTTGTGCAGAAAGCAGATAGGACAAGGGCCTTGGAGCAAACACTTCTCTATTTAACAATCCTGCCTAGGGCAGCTTGTTTAGTTCCATAGCCTAGGTCTCCTATCAGCCTTCGCATAAAACTCCTCCCAAGAGTCGAAGACCTTCAAAATCAGACAAGATGCAGCTCCATTCCAGAACTCTCCCTGCAAGCATTCCACGATTCTTTCGCACTCTCCACAGTTCTAATGGTTTTGCCACAACCTAATCCACAGAAAATACTAAATTTTCCTCTGTACACTGTACAAAATTACACCAAACTGTCAGGGAAACAGGCCCAAATCCCTTTATTTCTTTTCCACCTCCTGCTATGAAACTGCATAGAAAGCTCCTGGGTGCTTTTTGTTGCCTGGTAGCTGAAATATGCAACTTTTGGAAGTGTTCGCATAGAATCAAGAGGCCTGGACTCACTGCCTCAAAAAGGTCCAGTCTCAGCCAAGCAGTACCTGACTCTCAAAGTCACAAAGTTTCAAGTTCCAATGAAATCAAAACACCTCATTCAGAAATGTGACTACCCACCACTTTTCAACATTTCCAGCAAAGGTGAAAACAGAGAAGCAAAGGAAGAAAGAAATTTCTTCTTCCTATAATTGCAGCAGTGTATGATTGCAGGAAGGGGGTGACCACTCACAGGAATCAGATACAATCTCTGGCAAAAACAAAAAACAAACCTGCCTGTGAATGACTAGATACTTTGATTTATGTTCTCCACCCCCTCCCATTCTCTTTATGAGTCTTGAGGACAGATGACATGCTGACACACAAAGTGGTCTCCAAACCTTTCCATTTCCCTTTGCAAAACATGCAAACCAACGCAAGATACTTGAACAGAAAATAGAGGAAAAATTTAAAATATCTTGGTAAATGTGTGTAGGAAAATATATAAAAAGCTGTATTGATAATTATCCTCACAGATGTATATGTTTGCAAGAAATGGCTAAAATTAAAGGAGAAGCAAAAATAAACACACCCTGTGTTCAAGCGGCTGTGGATTATTACTGATCCCACTGTTGGATTATTGTTTATCTCATACTGAACCTACACTGAATAGCAACTTGGAGAACACCCCCAGACAACCACCATCTTTACTTTCCACTGGTAGGGGGGTGCCCATTAAGGAAGAGGAGGGGATGGGATTGGGGGGGGGGTTGGAATAACACAGTCTTTGAACCAATGTTTTCCCCCTTGCCCTAGTGAACTCTTTGTCTGGTTGCTGAACACGTTTGTGAGATCAAGGAAAAGAATCCAAACAAAACAAAAGAGTAGGCATCCCAGACTAATTACAATAGGTGCCCAGCACACTGTGGTGCCAGCAAAGCCAGAGCACGGTTTGAATCTCGCGTTCAAGCATTTGCTCTCTCCGTACCCCCAATAAAACATGTCTCACACATCCTCTTTGCATTTCTCCAAGCTTTCCCCAAAAAACGGCCCGCTCTGTTGTCACTCCTTAGAAAGGGATGTGAGGCACGAACATACTGAAACATGTTGACGGTGACTTGTTATTATCCTGACAATAATGTATACCTGGAAATAAAACCCGCCGCCCCCCACGCCCACTGGCCAGTCCATTATGCAAAAGGAGCGCTTCCCAGCTGAAGGGGAAGAGCTCGCAGGAAGCGTTATTTGCGTGCACATTACAGAACCATATACCACCGCATCTGCATCCTACACAAAGCCCGAGATGGTGCAAGAAGATACGCGCTGAGCCGAGCATGGCACAGACCAGCCGCGGCAACGCGGAGCCAAGCCCGCGTCCAATCAGATCCCTGCGAGAAGGTGGACCTCGGGGTCGGCTCGGCCCGATGAGCCTTCCCTATTATGACACCGCGCTCTGCCCAACATCCACATCCCACCGGGAGCAAATCTAATTCGTGTGGTTGCTCATTTCTCAAACTGCCGAGCCCTTCCTTTCATCTGCATCCCTGCTCCTCGTCCCTTAAAAAGCCACCCCAAGGCCTGAGTGCCCCCCCCCTCCGGCTCCGTATCCTTGTAGCCGCTCCACTCCCAGAGGGGGTGAGAGGTTTCTGTCTCCGACGCGCGAGCTGCAAAGGCGGAAGGCAAACGCCTCCCCGAGCTCGGGCAAGCGCCCGAGGGGCTGCGAAAAGTAAAAGCAGCAGGCAACGTGCGGGGGAAATCGTCAGGATCCAACGGCCACGAGAGTTGAAAGCCCAGAAGCGCTCCAACTTACCCAAAATATGACATTGAAGCCAAATATGAAATATTTGATGCAACAACTGACTTCAGGACCCTTGTAGTGCTTCCCGGACATCCTCTGGGTTCATGAAGACACTTGCCCCGGCAGCCCGAGTTTGGAGCCCCGGAGCACCGTCGCTCAGAGCAGCCCCGGGGGCGGGGGGGGGGGGGGGGACAGGGGGCCGGGGACGCGGGTCGGGGACGCAGGTCCGGGACCGACCGACCGACCGCGGGGGAGCCGCTCCCGCACCTCCAGCCCCTGCGCGTCGAGGCCGCCGGAGCCGGGGTGGCCGCGAGCCGGCGGGGAAGCGGCGCGCTGCAAGCCCCGAGCCTCGCCGCAGCTGGCCCCGAGCCCAAGGCGAGAGCCCGCGTCCGTCCGCCCGGCGATTGTCCGTCCGTCGGTCTCCGAGCTTCGGGCAAACGCGGCCGCAGCAGATGCTGCTGGAGACGCTCCTCGCCCGCCCCTCGCGCGCGCCCTCCCGCCGCTCGCTCCGCCCCCCCGCTCGCTCCGCCCGCCCGGCGCGCCAGTCCTCCGCCCGCAGCTCCGCCCGCCGCCCGCCCGCAGCTCCGCCCGCCCGCAGCTCCGCCCGCCCGCAGCTCCGCCCGCCGCCCCGGCCTCGGCGAGGCGCGCGCGCTCCCGGGCGGCCGCGGCACCACGTCGCCGGAGTGACCCGGCTCGACGCGCGGCGCGTCCGTCTCCACCGCCCGCTGCGGCAGACGCCGTCCGGGGGACGCGGGGGGACGGCTGGGTGAGTGCGGAGCCCGCGAGCCGCTCGCCCCTCGCCCCTCGGACGAGCCCCTCCTCCACCGCGGGACGGGGCTGCAGCGGAAGGCGCCGGGCCCCTGAGCCGGAGCGGAAAGGGGGCGCAGACTTCGCGGGGAGCAAAGGGGTAGGGTAGGGTGTGCGGGAGGGGAGGAAAAAAGAGATGGGGGGTGGGGGTGGGGTGGGGGGGCATTGGGAGGGCTGCAGAGGAACGTCTCCGGAATCCAAGTGTGGCTCCAACCCAACCCCCCCACACACACCTGCCGGAAAATACGCCTCATCCCAGAATGCGGACGAGGGAAGGAGCGGTGGCTCGGAGGAGCCCGGCCCGGATGCGATCCTCGCCCGCGGGTCTGGCGCAGTAACGCAGAGTCGGGCAGCACATGCGCCCGGAGACGGAACCGTGCCCAAGGCCTTGACTGGTTCCTCACTCTCAGAAGCAATTCAGAAGTTCCGGGATGTCTTTTGGGAAATCCGAATTGGTATTATTGGTTATAAACCATTAAGCTTTTGACCTCTAGGGGAGGATGGAACGAGTGGCTGGAAACTTTTGGAGCGCTCCCTGAGAAGGTGTGCCCCTAAGTTGCATATCCAGCCTCCGCCTCGAGCATTCATGGGTGCTGGCGAGCGGGCACCAGTAGTCCATGAAAGAAGAAGGAGCGCTCAGAACTGTTTGTGACGTCTTTGGGGAGGGTTTTTTGTTTTCTGGTTTTTTTTTTTTTCCCAGGGTTCAAAACGCTGGAAAGAGCTGAGGTCAGGAAAATTTTCCAGCACCACCGTGTAACCTGTACTGGACATAGAAATCTGCATGTTTCCTAAGCTCCCCCAGATGATACTCAGTACACTTATGCTTGAGAACCTTTTGCATAGGATTTCTCTGGTTAACCACCTTAGTTTTCTCAAAAATAGGCTTAGCTAGTGGACAACCTATAATCCAGCTTTGAAGGGGTGAGAAGTTACCTGTGAGAAGTAAACCACCACCCATTGGGATAGGCTTGACCTTGAGAGGGATTGAGGCTACACTGAGGTCACCAAGAACCCACAAAGGTGGGAGGGTCACGAGATCCTCTCCATTCAGTAGGACAGAACTATGATACTGGCTAACAGTGACTTCCGCCCTCTGGATGATAGAACCCTCCCTCCCCCAAAAGTGCCCTTCACCGAGCAACCCCGGTGATTCAGCGGTTTAGCGCCGCCTTCAGCCCCGGGTGGGATCCTGGAGACCCGGGATCCAGTCCCATGTCAGGCTCCATGCAGGGAGGGTTCTTCTCCTTCTGCCTGTGTCACTGCCTCTCTCTCTCTCTCTCTCTCTCTCTCTCTCTCTCTCTCTCTCTCATGAATAAATAAAATCTTAAAAAAAAAAGTGCCCTCCACCTACCCAAAGCACACAGAACACTAGCCACCAATCTAATAGGCTTCAAACGTAAGGTCTGCCTTCAACCTCAGATTCCCTACTAACAGGAAAGCACTGACAAGCTTTACCTAAACCTATTCCTGCGGTATGGTAACTCTATATCTAAATAGATTTCTGGATAAGTCAGAGGAAGGGTCTGTCTTAAGTGAGATGACACAATTCAGAAGAGGACTGGAAATTAGATCCAGTTGATGACTAAGTTGATCCCTAAGCAGGATTTATCTTTGAAATAAAAATCAACAGAGAAGATAAAGTTCAGATAACTCATCAGTAATGGGGGAGGTGGGGAGGGTCTAGGTGAATTCTCATTTAATATGTCAAAAGTAAGTCCTTGGAGGAATTACGAGTTACACACAGTAACAGAAGAAAACAGTATCTGTTAAACCTCTAGCTAGAAGTACTTCTCAGTGTAGAAACAATAGAAGCAAGTGATATGGATATGATTGACCTTACCAGTAATCAAAGAAATAGATCTTAAATCAATGATAAGGGACACCTGGGTGGCTCAGCAGTAGAGCATCTGCCTTTGGCTCAGGGCATGATCCTAGGGTCTGGGGTCGAGTCCCGCATTGGGCTCCTTGGGCGAAGCCTGCTTCTCCCTCTGCCTGTGTCTCTGCCTCTCTCTGTGTGTCTCTCATGAATAAATAAAATCTTTTTTAAAAATCAATGATAAAGGCATAAAGATAATGAGCACTGGCTTCCTCGTTCATTGCTGGTGACCTTACGAAGGGATACCATCCCCTTGGAAAGCATTTTGGCTGTGTGTTCCAGGTCAGGGTGCACCTACGTTTTGACTCAGCAGTCCCACTTCTGGGAACCTAGCCAAAGAAATACTCCAAAATATGGAGAAAGTTATATACTGCAATTTGTACACCATACCATTATTTATGGTATGGCCACAGCTTAAAGATCCTGGAGTGGAGACCATACCCATGTCCTTGTAGTAACCTGGACCACAATGTCACTTCAAGTTTCTCTGCTTGTAAAAAAAAAAAAAAAAAAAGTTTCTCTGCTTGTGTCATTCTTGCCTCTACCTGAAGTGCTCTCCACGCATTTGGGCTGTGAGCTGACGCCTCTTACTTAACCTGAACACTGCTTTTTTAACTGCAGTATAGTCAACATACAGTGTTATAGTAGTTTCAGGTGTATAGTATAGTGATTCAACACTTCACACCTTACTTGGTGCTCATCCTGGAAGTATGCTCTTCATCCCCTTCTCCTGTTTCACCTACCCAGCGTTTTTCGGGGTTCCTTCTTTTGTTTCCTCACATGTCCCCTAGTCTTCCATTTTGCACTGGGAAACTACATGTTAATTGTTTCCCTGCTTGTCTCCTCCACTCTGCTGTGACTCCTGCGAGGGTGTGGCCCAACTCCTTTTAATCTTAGCAGCGCTAGCGCCTTGGTAATGTGGCAGGTGCTTGATAAATATTTTTTAAACAAGTGGATGAATCATTTACTCAAACCTTTTACAGCCATTAAGGATGATAATTATAAAGAGTATGTGGCAATGTGAATACATTATAATGCTAAATTTTAAGGGCACTAGATATGGAATTATCTCAAAGTAATGTTATGTGATAAATGTGCAAGACAGCAGGCACAGTAGGCTACTAGCTTGTAAAAAAAAACATGTTGGCAAAGGAGACTGGAAGATTTGTATATACACGTATTTTCTTGATAATGGGTAGGTTATCTACAGAAGAAAATAAAAGAAAAAAAAAGAAAAACTGCTAATAGAGGTTTGGGGTGGGTTTGGAGAGCACACTGGAAAAAACAAAAGATATGATAGAGAAAGAGACCTGCTTTATTTTTTGATACACTCTTTTGTTTTTTAAATGTGTACCATGTACATAACTGTTTTGAAAAACAAACCACTCTATGAAATTTTATGTAGTTATATGAAATAAGTTGGGAGTTAATTCTCACCAAGTAATAACAGTTGCGGTTGTGTGGTTGTGGGTGATTTTGTTTTCACATTTCTGGTTTCCATTTTTTTTTAATGTGGTCATACTGCTTTTACAATTACAAAGATAAAAGTATAAATAAAGATGAGACAACTAAGTAATCCTTGTATTTATTTCATCACAACTTCTTAATGTCTCAATAAATTTTTATCTGTCTTAAAAGAAGGAGAATAGTTTGCTCCCTGGAGACTGCTATAGCCATCTCCCCTGTAATTCTGAAGTTGAAAAATGGCTAATAAGTTTAATTACTGAAGAGTTAATCAGCCTCTCAAATGGCAGTGAGAACGGGTAAAGCATGTTCTTCTGATAGTTACACAGCTGAACAGCAAGATATGACAACAGCATTTTACCGGATTTAAGACACCAGATTTAATGAGCTTGTCTGTATCTGTTTTGCTTTTCTGCCCACCTTTCTGCCTCCTTCCTCTCTATTTTACTCTTTGCTTCTCCAGTCGTTTCTTTTCCTTCCATGCAAGCAGCGCTGCTGGTTACCTCTCCTCCCCCTTCACCTTCTCCCTCTCAGAACCCGACTAATGTTCCAGTGTCCCCCCTCTTTTTAACAGCCATATACTCTGGGAAGACCAGACCCCTCATGGGACTCCAAGGACCGTCTTGACCTTCTAAGCCAAAGTTGGCTCTCGCCAAGTGCTTGGTTCAGAAATGAGCTGTGACACAATTCTGGCCAATGAGACAGGAGGAAAATCTGCTGAGGGGTTCTCACGTCTAAGAGATGGTATTTTTTTGGCCTTGGATTTCACTGTGTTTGGATACAACACCTGGATCACGTAGAGCCTGACTGTAAATAGACCACACAAGGAGGGCAGAGTAAGAAAAACCGAAGAGAACCTAGGCCTTCATGACATTATTGCATGCTGACTTAAGTCTACCTCAGGACTTCCTGTCAGAGAAGACACTTGCTTGGTTAGGCACCGTGAGGGGAGTTTTCAGTTTCAGGCAGCTGAAAGTATTTTGACTTTAACAGTCTCCTCTGAGCTTTTCCCATGCCCTTTGATTTTCTCCTCTTGAATCATCTCTAGCCTTTCCATGTGTCCCTCAGTAACATGCATTTTCTGTATTTCCCTCCCCTCCTCTCTCTTCTCTTCCCCAACTGTTCCTGTCTCTCTTAAATAATACACGCCATACCTTCAGCGCACTGTCTGGCACCGTCAGCGTGGCTCACACCCATCCCTTTCTCAACCACAAAGCACTTCCCCACCTCCAGCCATGTTTGTACTTCACAGTGGACAGGACTGTGTGGGTCCAGCGCAGCCAGCCTGAGAGTCTGTCTCACTTGAGGGGATTCAGTAACAAAAGGATCCCTTCAAGTGGCTGAAATGGTGGTGTTTTCAGGAGAGTTGGAGGGCCTGCGTTTCCAGGAGGAAGCCAAAGTCTCTCTCTCTCTCTTCTCTTTCTCTCTCTCTCTCCAGAAAGAGGAAGGAAGCATAAATTCTGAGAGAAACAGCAGCAGTCTCTGACAGCGTGGGCCGTACGATTGGTTGTGTGCTTTGTCCTCTGAAAGGCTTCCAGCCCCACCAAAGGCTTTCTACTTCTGGATTTCAAGTGAGCCTTGTCTCTGATGTTTATGAGATTTTTCTGTAGAATCCTTCCAACTCATTCCATTTTGGCTTTGGCTACTTTGAAATGGGCACCTCACATTTGCAAATCAAAGAGCCTTGATTAGATAATGGGTCATCCCACCACAAATCCATTGGGAAATGAGGTCAACTTAAAATATTTTTTTAATTAGTGAAAACGAATAAAGGGAAAGGAGAGAAAATGAGTGAAAATATCAATGAGGGTGACAAAACATGAGAGACACCTAACTCTGGGAAATGAACAAAGGGTGGTGGAAGGGGAGGTGGGCAGGAGGTTGGGGTGACTGGGTGATAGGCACTGAGGGGGGAACTTGGTGGGATGAGCACTGGGTGTTATACTATATGTTGGCAAATTGAACTCCATAAAAAAAATTTTTAATTTTTTTAATGAGCCATAATATAAAATTAAAGTGTATCCTCATGATAAGATATTGTGCCCTCTGCTTTTAGTTGAAAAGCAAGTAAATTAAAATGTTATATTTTTCTGTGAACAATTGCACCCCCAGGACAAGTACTAGCCCCACACCCCCTCTAACCCAAACCCATGCGTACTGTACCGTTAAAGAAGATGAGCTTTCAGAATCTCAAGGAGATGGGAAAAGAAAGTACATTTGTCTCAAAAATATGATTAAATAAGTGTATGTAGAACAAAATTCTTTCACTTTTTGAAATCAATTATAACTGCTTGTACAGTAAGATTCTATCTTTTACAAAATATGACAGAACCAGCACCAATTTTATTCTACTTTCTTTTCAACATACCACCTCAATTTCCTTCTGCTTTGAAAGTAGTCAGCTAAGGATGAATCAAGGTGCCAGGCCCTTCCTTCACCTTAGCAAGTATGAGGAAGCTACCCTTTGTGATACTGAGCAGAGGAACAAAAATATAAAAAACCACCCGGAGTTCAAGGACATAAACCCTTCAGACCTTCTGGATCCTCTTGGTTCTCCCACCCTTCCTCAGTTCCCATAGCCAGTTTCTTTCTTTCCAGTAAAAGTTCTTTTTGATTAAATCAGACCATGCTTATTTCTATGGCTTAGACCAAAAAAGCCTTAATAACACTATGCAAACTCCTAAAACTGAACTTTTCAGAGAAAAATGTCAACTTCGATGTCAAAAATAACCTATTCTCATTATACAATGTTGAGAAAACACAAAAAATTTTTTAAAGAATCACCCATGACAACGTTTCCAAGGAAAACGTCAGTATTTTGACATATTTTCTTCATCAATAATTATTTTTATCTGGTTTATCTCATTCAACAGAGAAAAAATGCAAACCTTTATATCTTCCACTTCCACTGCCCAAAAATAGTGCCAAGAAATCCTCTCTCAGAACAGAGGCAAGGCCATCTCAATTTCCAGGCTGTGGTTATCCGTCAAGATGCTAACCTCATAGCCCCCTATCTCTAGCCCTTGAATGTTTTCCTTTTTTACCACCTATTATTCTGTGTTTCCATTCTTATAAGGCAAACATGCCCACATGTTCCCTTACATTCCTAAGTCACTCTCAGCTCCAAAGGATCTCAAAAGACCATTCCCATCACACAAACCAACCCCACACTTCCACCCATCACCAGAACGAATTACTTTGCAGTTAAGCATAATTCCACTCCTTATGAAATCTTCCCCCATTTAAACGCTAGGCATGCATATCCAGTAATTGCCCTCTTTCACCACTCAGGTTTTTTTCACTTCTAAAAACTTTGCTTCTTTTCAGTGACTCTATAATGGGTGGAACATTGAACTTCATGTTCAGAAGCAGGGAATAGATACTAGCAGATTCCCCCCAATATCTATTTAGGTTTTACTATACAGAACCAATTGATTCAACCACAAATATTTATTGAGCACATCTCCTGTTAAAAGTGCACCTGGAAGAAATAGACCAACAGAAGTAAGAACTCAGGTCAGAGTCGATTAAATGCCAGAACTCCAACAAAGTGCAATATGCATACAGACCATGAATACAAACCTCTTCCAGATCTATTTTTTCTTTCCCTTTTCTTTTTTGTAATAGTAGCACTAAGATAAAATTGTTAGGAACGAAAACTAGTTATGTTAATCAAGACCTGAATGTCTTCTATCTGAATCATTTATTTGAATGAGGTCACAACTATGATTGAATAAGTTTTAAAGTCATACTTAACTACATGGTATAGCTACTATGGAAAACAGTTTGGCAGCTCCTCAAAGCATTAAACAGGATTACCATATGATTCAGCAATTCTATTCCTAGGTGTACATATATATACCCAAACAAATTGAAAGCAGGGGCCCAAACAGATATTTGTATACTAATGCTCATAGCAACCCAATAGCCAAAAGGTGAAAATAAACCAAGTGTCCATAAACAGATAAGTGGATAAACAAATGTGGTATAAACATTCCGTGGAATATTATTCAGACTTACAAATGAATGACATCCTGATACATGCTACAACATGGATGAACCTTGAAAATATTATGCTAAGTGAAATAAGCCAGATACAAAAGGGCATATTTGATTCATGATTCCACTTATATGAAGTACCTAGGATGGGCAAAATCATGGGGACAGGACATAGACAGAGGTTACCAGAACTGAAGGGCAGGGGAGTGGGGAATTATTGTTAATATTTTTTTAATTTTTATTTATTTATGATAGTCACACAGGGAGAGAGAGAGAGAGGCAGAGACATAGGCAGAGGGAGAAGCAGGCTCCATGCACCGGGAGCCCGACGTGGGATTCGATCCCGGGTCTCCAGGACCGCGCCCTGGGCCAAAGGCAGGCGCCAAACCGCTGCGCCACCCAGGGATCCCGGAATTATTGTTTAGTAGGTAGAGTTTCTGTATGGGATGATGAAAAAGTTTTGGAAATGGATAGTGGTAATGGTTGCACAGATTACTTAATGCCACCATGCTGTACACTTAAAAATGGTAAAATAGTAAACCTTATGTTATATATATTTTACCATAATAAAAAAGTCTACACTTAAATAAACTGAGAAATAGTTCAACAAATAGAAAGGATAAGTTGCTCTCACAAGTCTAAATATGTTCAAAATTAAATGTCCATCATATGCATTCTAAGGCTATGTTATGTGTGTCCTCACTTTAAGAAATCTAACAGAAGTGTAAAAATTAAGAGGCAACTGCATATAAAAGTATCTACTTTACAAAGCAATTTACCCAAGTATACCTTTAAATAAGGAGCTTCCTTAGTTAACCTGAGAGCAGAAACACTCTGTGGTAGAAGTATCAGAAGCTGGGGTCCCTCTCTTGTGCACAATCTCAGACCGGATACCAACCACCTGTATATCTTTCTGTATAACTCTGGCCCCTCTCAAGTGTCCTGCAAGAATCCAATACACGTGAGGTGAGTTAGGGATGTGTGGTTGAGAGCATAGCTATCTTCTAAGCTGAAAACCTGAGTTTTCATTTCACTAGTTCAGCTTACCTTCTCTTTCTTTTTTTTTTTAGAGGGAAAGAGTGAGTGGGCATGAACACACGCATGGTGTGGGGAAGAGGGGCAGAGAGAGAGGGAGAGAGAGAATCTCAAGCAGACTCTCCACTGAGCGTGGAGCCCTATGCAGGGCTCCATCTCATGACCCCAAGGCCATGACCTGGACCAAATCCAAAGTCAGAAGCTGAAACCACTAAGCCACCAGGGTGCCCCAAAAGCTACCTTTTCTATTAGACTATAGATTTGTTGAAGGCAGAATCAAGTTCCCTGTGCAGGATATTGCCAGGCCAGTATTCCACATGTGCTGGCTGCATAATAGTATTTCCTGAATAAGTAAACAAATGACTTAATAACTGTAGTAAAAATGGCCATGGAAGGTCAAACAAAAACAGCTATAAAACAGCTCTGAAATTCTAATATGTAGGAGATCTTACTTGAGTCATAAAGTTCAGGTGACACATACAATCTTAGAGAAATACTCCTCAAAGCATAGAGAGAAAAATCTGTGTTCAAGTCTAACCCATCTTCTCTTACAAAAGAGATATCTTTTCTACTGTGTTTGTAACTCTACTGTGTACCCAAATGTACCACATTCACTAGGTTCACAATAAATACTATTGACAAAATGAATGACAAGGCAAAAAATAGCTTGCAATACTTTTCATTTTTTACAAGTGTGGAAAGCATATTAAACCATCTGCTGATTAAAAATATGCGTGTTTTGACTTGCATATGAATGAAATTAACATACATAAATCCAGCATCTTCACATCACTAGATTCACAGCCACAGCCAATGTAATTTTCCATGTTTCTTCAAATTCATCAATTTCAGAGTGACATAATTAAGTTATTAGGCATAAAATACACAGCAATGATATATAACTAAAAGCTAACTTTTGTTTAATTTTCAATTCAATGATTGTTTATCCTCTAAAAATAAAAACAGCATAAGATTGTTGAAAATCTAAAATTTTATGTTCAAAGTTGCTCTACAAATACCTAATATCACCATGGAAAATGAAAACTTGAGGTACAGAACAGGAACCACTATCCCTCAGTATGTTGAGCTCTAGCACCTTGCTGCCTATATACCCCCCAAAACAACTTGCCAACTTCAGTTTCCACCTGCTCCCCTGGCCCATCACCACCTTCTTCTCTCCAATACCCTGTCTGGAACAGGGAAGATGTTCCGTAAAGTAGAGGATCAACCTTGTACAGTGTTACACTAATGGCCAGGCCTGGGAGGAAGGACACACCCAAACTACAGACCTAGGCAGACTGAATGCCAAGTCTGGGCCAAGCCAATGAAGACAGGGTCAGTCACTGTTACAAGGGATGCCTGTCCCTTCCTCTTAACCCATCAGTCCCTCAGTATTCACCACTGTCTGAGTCACATCCCGGAGCCAGGTGGAATCTCCAGCATCTTGCTGTTGATCTACCTCTGGCACTATAAACCTGCCACCGTGTAAAACACCCAGCACCGTGGTCATTGGGTCCTCCCAGGACTGCTGGCACTGAGCCATTGAGAACAGTAGAAGTCTTTCTACAGTCGTGTTTTCTAGCATTGTCAGGTAATACGAATCGTCTAGGGCTGTTGATCTAGATACAGATTTCCAAGCCCTTTCCCTAGATAATCATATTTAGGGGATCTATTTGAGGTCCAGAAATCTGAATTTTTAACAAGTGCCTAGGTGATGCTCTTCACCAGGGAGTTTTGGGAAATACTGAGTTCAGTACACTCTTCAAAGTGTCCCTTGAGGGGATCCCTGGGTGGCTCAGCGGTTTAGTACCTGCCTTTGGCCTGGGGTGTGATCCTGGAGTCCCAGGATCAAATCCCAGGATCAAATCCCAGGATCGAGTCCCAGGATCAAGTCTCACATCAGGCTCCCTACATGGAACCTACTTCTCCCTCTGCCTGTGTCTCTGCCTCTCTCTCTCTCTCTCTCTCTCTCTGTGTCTCTCATGAATAAATATTTTTTTTAATCTTGCTAAAAAAAAAAAGTGTCCCTTGAACCTTCTAGTTTCGGGGGTGGGGGTAAGGGTGCATGTGCTGCCCTGTATGGAGTCAAGCCTTGTCTTGAATAACAAAGGGATAATGAAGATGTGTTTCCTTTGTACACTGAATAGTCTTTGTAAATCCAAGGCACACTGTCATTATCATGATTATACATCTTTAGCCACAGCCTCCAGGACAATATGCAAAGCTGAGATGAGCTTCTTCTCAACACACGGCTAAATGATCAGCCACAGTCCCTGAGGTCCTAGAAGTTGGAGAACATGCAGAGTGGCCAAAGGCAGAGGAGAAAGGGAAGAGGAGGAGTAAAGGCTGGAATCAGGAAATTAATATATATGTATTTCAATCCACAGCTGCTTTGGCTGCTGATCTAAATCAAAGGAAGAAGGGAGATTGAGGGAGAAAATGTAAACAGCATGAATTTTTCAGATATTAAAAACTGAATGTTAGCTGAATTATTTATTTATTGAACTTCCAATTTATTTTTCAGGACTACTATGTGAATAAATGTGAGTTGGACTCTGAAAGCCATCTAGGTACTGAGGTAAGCACCTACAATGCGGGGCCATGCAAAGTAGGGGGCCTGTGAATTGTAGTCATCTACATGAGGTTTGCCACAACTGGGGACAGGATTCCATTCTGTCAGTTTTGCTGCTGACTTACCATAAATTAAAGATGGATGTAGTTAGAGCACAGTCTCCCCCATGGACACAAAGTCCAGGCCCTTCCTTACAATGTTGATGAAGAAAATTTGCAATGATGCCAGAAATGAAAGATATGCATAGTCTTGTAGGGAGCTGGGAGATAATTTAGAGACAACAACCACTCTCTTTCTGAGACTTGAATAAGAAGTTGTGAGTTACATAGTAGCCTGCAGAATCACATGGCATTAAGAAAAGGAAAAGCTCGCCCCAAGTCTCTTTTAAAGATGCATTCGATCTTCTGTGATTGAGTATGTTCCTGCATACTAATGGAGAAGTGGACTGGCTTTTCCTGATCCCATCTAGAATCATGATGATACAACCAAATATTAGCAACTCAACTCAGCAAACATGCACTGTACAAATAAATTGCCTGAGTGAGTAGAGCAGTTAAATCACCTAGATGCAGTTGTTTGGGAAGAACCCTTCAAGTTTCTGGATACATTTTAAAAGCTACAGGAATTCAAGGTTAACTCTCCTCAGGTCAGAAATATATCTTAGCCCTTTAGAAGTTGTAGCTTCTTCCATTGTGACAAACATTCCCGAGGCGCTGGGTGGCAACCCGGAGATGGCTTTGGGATAATTAGGAAGTATATTAGATGCCAAATATGCCCCCAAAGCAGCCCCTTTGCCAGTCACATAAAATATGCAAAAGACATTTAACAATTCTCATTTTCAATTACAATTCCTTAGGTCTCATTCCTTTTTCCTCAGATTTGTCTGAGGAAAAAAAAAAAAAAAACATTTGTCCATGCTCATCCCGCTGATAAAATTTCAATCACTGAAACTTTCCCTTTAAAACTAACAAGGTTTGGGATCCCTGGGTGGCGCAGCGGTTTGGCGCCTGCCTTTGGCCCAGGGCGCGATTCTGGAGACCCGAGATCGAATCCCACATCGGGCTCCCGGTGCATGGAAACTGCTTCTGTCTCTGCCTCTCTCTCTCTCTCTCTCTCTCCTCTCTCTCTCGTGTGTGTGACTATCATAAAATAAATAAAAATTAAAAAAAAAAAAACTAACAAGGTTTTTTATCTCCCTGAGTTAGCCAGATAACGATTGCACAGGCCACTCCGTTCCGAACCACCAGAGAGAGTTGAAACTGGAGCAGCTGGGATAAATGAGATCCCCGTAGATAAACCACATGGTTCAGGGCAGTCAGGAGGTGCAGCCTCTTCCCTCACTTAACCTTGTACCAAAGCTGCTGTGGGTAATTTGATTCCCTGCACGCTTTTCTCTGTTGGAATGGAAGGTGAGGTTTTAGGCAGATGTTAGCCAGGGAGGCAACACCGTGGAAAGGAAAGGAAAACTGTGTTAGGGAATAGGGCATCTACCCTAAATCATCTGCCACCTTCTCTCAGTTACTTGGCTACTGAAAAACCTTAGCTTCCTTACCTCGAAGGGCAGAGTTGAGACTGAACGTGTGGGATAGAGATCTTGATGTGAAGAACTTCCTGAAGTTCCTGCTGGAGGCAAATGGGAGAGTAAGTAGGTTCCAGGCTGTAGTTGTCTCTAAACGCTATTACTTTTATCAGTTTGCACATTGGGGTTTCACGCAGGATTTCATTTTCTGCAGTGTATCCCATATGAAAGTAAGTTTGCAACCCCCTAAACAAAAACAATGGTTTACTTTCAGTTCTCACACTCTTTGATTCTTTATTGTTCAATAATAAGAGCGTTAGATTCCTGCTAATGTATTAACTAGATATTGATAGAATCTGCAAAATGAAGAGATGCTTTGATGGATGTGAAAGTAGAAATTTACAGAGAAACCCCGAGGGTGCATCTCTCCCCCAGGTTAGGAATGAGAGCCACATCATTCTTTCTTCCTCCTTTCTCACAGCAAACTTTTACCCCTGCCCCAGTGGCGCTCAGCTCTGGCTGCCCAACAGAATCATCTATGCAACTATTAAATTATGCAGGACTCTGGGCTTCACGTCTGGGGATTCTGAGTCAACAGATATGAGGATGGAGCTTTTTTAGCTATTCCTGTTTTGTGGTGTGTGTGTGTGTGTGTGTGCATGTTTCTGTGTATAAGGATCCATAGGTGACTTTGAGGTGTAACTAGGATTGAGAATCTCTGCTTGGCTTCAGGTCTCCAACCTTTCCTAAGACTGTTCTCATAAAAGACATTAATGAACTCCCCAAAGTCAGTTATCATTTTTAGGCAGATGATTCCAAATCAAACTCTCTAGAAACAACCAACTTCTATCTGAGTGTCTCCTCAGCTTTTTGCCCACTAGCCTGCCTTGCCCCCATTACCACTCCATCTATTAGGAGCAAAGTCCTTCCAATGCCTTAGGCTCTCAGTGACTCAAAGGCATCTCTGATCCTGCCACTCCCTGTGTGGCCAGCATCCTATCTGCACCAACCTAAGAAACCTACCCCTGTATCTGATCTTTAGCCACGTCCCAGCTTTCCATTCCTACTGCCACACTTCAAATCAGGCTCCCTTTATTTCTTGTCTATATTGTTTATAGCCACATATGGAGGTCTCATTCTCCCATCTTTGATCTATGCTAACCCTTTGTTTAAAAAACTACAAATAACTAACCCCATAGCCTACCTTTTCAAAAAAAAACAGAAACAACAACAACAAAAAAAAACCCCTTCATCTATCTTTTAAGTTCAACAATAGAAACCCAATCTAAGTTTCCAGCCTGATCTTGGATTACACAGCAGCACAAACACAATCCGCCAACCAAAGAGCATTGTTCTTTCTTTTGTAAACATGTCCTAGACTTTCCTAATTATGTGCCCTTAGGGTGCTCTCAGTCTACAAGACCCTCCTTCCCGTGCTATGCTACCTCCTTCCTAAAGGCTCTCTCCAGAATTCTCCAAGTGAATCTGAAGCATAAGGAAAAACACTGTGCTTGACCCTTTTTCATGGTAATCATTATATCCTGTCTTGTGATGTGGTTATCTATGGCTATATCTCATCCCCTTTACAGAACTGTCACTTCTTTCAGGCCCTGCCCTGTGAGCCTTGTAGCAGTTTAGAGAGTGAACTTTGGAACCAGAAAAAGCCCTGTATTTAAATTCCAGCTCTGCCACCCAACAGCCGCTTGAGCTGGTTCAAATTATTTAACCCTTCTCTGCTTTAGTTTCCCAATCTGTAAAATGGGAATATTAATATCCAGTTTCCAGGATTAGCATGACAACTGAATGAGATAATGCATATATAAGGTGCCCGACACAAAAAAAGGCTCTCAATAAATGGTGGTTCCCATTAATAAATGTTGAATGGAGGCCCCACAGGCTTTTATCTATAATGGAGGGTGATATCCTGCTAACCCAGCTTGATGGTAAACTTCCTTTTTGGATACTTGCCACCCAGTCCTTTTTACTCATTAGGAAGATGTCAAGGTATTTTTGGGACAAGCTCTGAAGCAAAGAAGTCTCTATTATCTATTGGTCAGTAATAATAAAGTTTGGAAAAACAAAACAAAACAAAACAAAACAAAAAAATAATAAAGTTTGGTAGTAACAGTGAAATAGGTAGAAAGGAAAGGGGGAAAAAGGCAGCAAGAAAACCCTGAATTAAAATATCCAGCAATGTACAGACAGATAAAATGCCTACAACTTTGCAAATTAAATATCTAGCTACATTACATAGTAATGGAAAAAGCCACAGGAGATTAGAAATCATTAAATAATAGGAGAGCTATTAGTATAATACATCAAATTGTTATGCCAAATACACAAAAAATATAATTGCTTCTATGTACAATGCATTTCATAAGATTCAACACCAATCCTAATAGCATTATTTTAAGAGTAGAGATAGAAAAAAATATTTTCTTAATATAAGAACAAGTATAAGATTAAAACCAATAGCCAGCATTATATTCAATGGTAAAACATTAGTGATATCTCCATTAAAAATATGTACAAAATAAGGAATATTATTTAATATTTTCCTGAAAGTTATAACCAATGCAATAAGACATGATACAAAATTAAAAGTATATTATTAATAATGAAGACATAAAATGATGTTTATTTTGAGATAAGTCATTCCACAACTATAAGTCCAAAGAAATAAGTTCCTTGAAAGTTATAACCAATGCAATATGACATGATACAAAATTAAAGGTATATTATTAATAATGAAGACATAAAATGATGTTTTTGAGATAAGTCATTACTCAACTATAAGTCCAAAGAAATATTTTTTTAACTAAAGACTTTCTTCTTTCTTTCTTTCTTTCTTTCTTTCTTTCTTTCTCTCTTTCTTTCTTTCTTCTTTTTTCTTTTCTTTCAGAGAGAAAAAGAGAGTGCATATAGGTGGGGGAGAGGGGCAAAAGGAGAGGGAGAAGCAGGCTCTGCACTGAGCAGGGAGCGTGATGCCAGGCTCCATCCCAAGACTCTGGGATCACAACCTGGGCCAAAGGCAAATGCTTAAGAGACTGAGCCACCCAGGTGCCCCAAAGAAATAATTTAAAAATTGATTAAACACAGGGGATGAATGTAAGATAAACAGGAATCAAAAGCGATCCAATATAATTGAAATAATCAGTCGGAAACTTTTAAAAGTCATATTTATATGTCGTTCTTTTTAAGATTTTGTTTATTTATTTGAGAGAGAGAAAGTGCTCACATGTGCAAGAGCACAGGCAGGGGCAGCACAAGAGTGGCAGGGAGCAGGAGAGGGAGAAGCCGACTTCCCGCTGAGCAGGGAGCCTAATGTGGGGCTCGATCCCAGGACCCTAAGCTCATAACCAACTAAGACACCCAGGTGCCCCTTTTTATATGTAGTTCTAAAAAAGATTTGAGATGGTTGTGGAAAACAAAAAATACAGAGAGCCCATACATAGTAACATACAACAAAAAAATATAAAATGTCTTA